GGTTACCTTGGTTGCTGATTGGCTAATGGTTACACAAGACAAAACATCGTTATGACATCATAAAGTGGCCAAAATCTGATCAGCTCATTTTCAGACAGGTTTTTATAGAAATGGATCAAAAAGAGAGAGAATCTTTGTTCCTGAAACTTTCAGAGTCTCTTTCCACAGAGGGGACACATGTTGATGTAGAAGAGACATGGAGAAGAGGGGACACATGTTGATGTAGAAGAGACATGAAGAAGAGGGGACACATGTTGATGTAGAAGAGACATGAAGAAGAGGGGACACATGTTGATGTAGAAGAGACATGGAGAAGAGGGGACACATGTTGAGAACAGTGTGTCCTCTTTGATTTGAGTCAGATCTTAATGGGCTCTTCTTTGGCTCTCACTCCACCTTTCCACCAAGTTTCATAATAAATGGGACGGTTGTTTTTTGCAATCCTACTGAGAACATACCAGTCAAAAAAGTGAAATCACTATCAAACTTCATAATATTACCCGGTACTCCATTTTAAACCAAGAACATATTTCTGCTTTATTTCATCCATTGCTGGCTAGCTTTCTCCAATAGAGAGGAGCAGAGATCACGTATTTCTGTAGGTGGCTTTGACAAACATGAATGGGAATTTTCCATTGGATTTCGGTATTTTGTGTCCTGTGTCATGGATCGCGAGTCCTGGATCTTGAGTCGTGGCTGTGGTCCTGGATCATAAGTCCTGGATGGATATCCTCGTGGATTCATCTTCCTATTATACACACATGCATTTCCAAACATGTGGTCTACCTATGTTGCAAATGTATTATCTTTTCAATTTACACACGGCATCTATTGCACGTCTGTCCGTCCTGGGAGAGGGATCCCTCCTCTGCTGCTCTCCCTGAGGTTTCTCCCATGTTCCCCTTTAAACTGTGGGTTTCTCTGGAAGTGTTTCCTTGTACGATGTGAGGGTCTAAGGACAGAGGGTCTAAGGACAGAGGGTCTAAGGACAGAGGGTGTCGTATTGTCATACTGATATTCTGTACAAACTGTGAAGTCCACTGAGACAAATGTAACATTGTGATATTGGGCTATATAAATAAACATTGATTGATTGATATTTTGCAGAAATTAAGCTCAGTGGCAAACACACATTTATGATACCAACACGTTTTTTTATGTCGTATAAAAAAAACGTTAATATCTCTTAAGCTTGTGTTAACCACAGACCTAAAAACAGGCTTTTTAACCAAAAACAGACTTAAAAAAAATAGACTTCGGGACGAGCAAACCCGGAAGTGCTAAATTCTCTCCAATGTTCATGTTAAGACTTATTCTTGCACAGTCAGAGGCAGCAAGAGAGACACCTTTTGTTAACAAATCCCCTTGAGTAAAGGATGTGTGTCCATGAAATAGAAATGTGTCCCGAACGTGATACTGATAATTTGTCTGATTTTGGTTTGGTGTCATATTGTCACCCTCAATTTTCACGGATAAAAAGACAACATTTTATTCAAGTTTAGTCCAAACACCATCCGGCTGGGCTTCCTCCATTGTTTAATCTTCATCCATCCATCGTCTTCCTCTGAGCTTTCTGTTGGCATCGGGTTAATCTCCCTGCTCCACATTGCTTGATCTCTCTTTTCTCCCATGGGCTTTTTAGCAATTTACTCTCCTCCATCTTTCTCCACTCAGACTGCAATCCTCCCATCCAACCCTTTTTTCTTCCTGCTTTGAAATGTGCAAATTGAGCATTTTTAATTTGAAGTATCCCTCTAATCTTAGGGCTTTAATTACATTTTGAGGATCAACTCATCCTCTGTTATCTATCTTTCTCTTTCATTCTTTTACACGTTATAGTATACCAGTTTAACCAGTCCGTCCATCCCAGAATGCAACGCTGTAATTTAATTTAATTCTGTCGAGGTGCCGTGACCTTTTCCCCTGGAACAGACTGGCATTTGTTTCATTGGGACCCAGCTGGCCATGAATACACACACACACACACACACACACACACACACACACACACACACACACACACACACACACACACACACACACACACACACACACACACACACACACACACACACACACACACACACACACACACAGATGAGGTTTCAGTCAGGTTTTTTGATCCCGAGGGAACAGGTGCATTTTCAGATGAAGTGTCCTCCAGCCAATGGGAAGACGGTGTTTAGGTGGGCGTGTCTGGACGTCAATCAATCAACAACCCCTGCTGAGTTTTATCATGCATTGAAATGACCCATCAAATGATTGAGTACAAGCAAAACTATTAAAAACTAAACTCATTTTTTTGTATTTAACACACACACACACACACACACA